GTACCACTTTCACTTTAGCAATGCCGTTGGACAGCTTCACCTGCGTATTCAGATATGGTAGCCAACCGTGTTTTGGTACTTCTCGTGTGAGCTTATGTACTGCGACTGCTCATTAGTAATCGGAAACACTCATCCATTTCGGATTGTGTTGATGTTATAATGAAGCAGTCGTCGATATACCTGCAGTACATCAAAGGAGAGCGACTCAGTACTGGTTCTTCAATTCTGCTCATGAAGCAGACAGCAAGTACTGGTGCTAGTCGCTGACCCATTGCCAAACCCCTTACTTGAGTAATAGTTTTATACTTTACAATTTTGACTTATGCGACACAGTGAGACACAAGTGAGTCTCATTCGTCCTTACTGGTTCAACTAACACACTGCGTGAGCTGAGCTCCGCACGGTGATACCTTCGGTGAGTTGTTAGGACTCATTACCGGGTTTTTGGGAAGCGTTTGGGAAACAAGGTCGGAAACGCTAGAGTGGGGAGGGCGTTTGGTCGGGTAGGTAACAAATTAAAAGCTTCGAGCCATTTTCAGGCCTCTGAAGAAGACGAGAAGGTCGAAACGTTAGGCCAATAAAGGTGTCATCTAAAAACCTCGTTTGGCAGAAGTAACTAAATATTCGACTTAACTGCTCTCTTTCAGAATGATGACTGCTGTCTGACGCCGCAGTTTGCGGTCACAAAAATGATGACTTCAGAGCGCAAAGTGCGCCGTCAATGCTGAGTGCATGAGTTGTGTGCAAAAATCAGATCCCAGGCGCCTTTCGAACCCGCGTCTCCCCCGCTGACCGGCCGAATACGCTGTTCACTTCGCACCAGGTCGCTCTTACCCAACCACTTTTCTCTCTCTCTCTCTCTCCGACGATATTACGGCGTCGCGCTCTCTCCTCTCTCCTCTCTCCTCCCAAGCGGGTCGGTCCATGCCCAAAGTCAACGAGTTGTCCACGCTGTCCTGCGCTGGGGCACTCCATCAATTGGAAGGCGACATATGGTGCTCATCATTGCAGACCGGTGGGGCGGGTGAGCCGCGCTGCGCGTGACTCGGCTGTGATCGCTGCCGCGTCACAGCCGAGTCACACGCAGCGCGGCTCACCCGCCCCACCGGTCTGCAGTGATGAGGACGTATGTTCAAATGCCGCCTCAGCAGTTTTTTTCCCGTCTTCTACTGATGCATTTTCAGCCCGGACCAAAACTTCTAATAGTTCCTGTGCTGGCTCGTTTACTGTTTATCCCATTCTTCATGCTCTGTAACTACAATGTCGATGATCGGGTGATGCCGGTTGTGTTCGAAAACGAATGGTTCTTCATTATTGGAAATACCATCATGGCATTCACCAGTGGATATTTCAGTTCCCTTGGGATGATGTATGCTCCCAGGTAAGCTGCTGCCATTTATCGTTCACATTGTGTAGATCTACAACAGAGGGACTGATGTTCTCATGAATTTAGAGTGGTTCCAAGCTCCCTCTCGAAAACTGCAGGAATGGCGGCTGCTTTGTGTTTGGTCACAGGTGAATATTACACAGACTCAAAATCCTTTCAGTGATCTAGACACTGAATAGGCGCAGAAGTGCGCGTCAGCCTAACTGGTGACATAATAACCCTCATCTACAGCCATCTGGTTTTTCCTATCCTGCGCATGACCTCTCACCCCACTCCTCCCCCGTGGTTTGCCTCCGAGTGGACGCAGCAGATATCGGCGTGATATTGAGCGGGTCTTACACACTTTTCTGCCAAAAAATTCTTGAAATTCCTAGAGTTCCCTCAAAATACATCCTGAGTCGATGACGCGATCCTTTCTGTCGATGACTTTCACTTATTTCATAGTCAAGAGTCATATGTCAGCTCAACTCTTCCAGATATCTGGGGGACTAATTGTAAGATGCATTTGGTTGCTTCCGTTAACGTTGAGCCTAATTATCAGTTGCTACTCTCGTAGATGTTGCTGAAGGCAGGGATAGCCGAGTGGTTAAGAGTGTAGACTCATAATCTCACTCTGAGCCACGAGTTCGATCCCTGCCGAGGCACAAACCTGCCTTGCAAAAATTGCAAAAATGGGGACGATACCAGCGTCAGGCCCAGGTTGACAGGCCGGCTGATGGAGGAACCCGTCACAACAACCATGACAAGTCGCAATAGAATCAGTGTAAAGCTAGGACGTCACCCGGAAGTGGCGCGCAGAACCCTCGCCCGAGTTCTGTGGTCAGTATGCGAGGGCTACCGAGGGGTGAACGGCCAAAGAAGCTAGTTCGAATTGGGACCCTGAACGTGGGGTCGCTTACCGGGAAGTCTCGTGAGGTTGCCGACCTCATGAGACGCAGGAATATCCAAGTCCTATGCCTGCAGGAAACGCGATGGAAGGGTGCGAAGGCCCGCGAGATTGGAGAAGGTGTCAAACTCTTCTACAATGGAGCAGACACCAAACGGAATGGCGTGGCCATAGCGGTGGCAGAATCCCTCAAGGACTGCGTCTCCACTGTGAACAGGATCAGTGACCGGATCATGGGAGTGAGAATGGACACGAAGGAGGGGTACTGGACAGTACTGACCGTGTACGCACCACAATCCGGTTGCTCCGAGGCGGAAAAGGATGAGTTCTACCTGACCCTGGACGAGGCCATAAGATCGGTTCCGGAAGAGGACTATCTCACCATAGCTGGAGATCTGAATGGCCATGTTGGGAGGGACAGAAGGGGTCTAGAAAGGGTGCACGGAGGTCAAGGAATAGGGACAACGCTGAGGGAGGACGGATCCTTGACCTAGCCACAGCCCACGACTTAGCAATCTGCAGCACCTTCTTCGCGAAAAGGACCCAAAAGGTAACCTACAGCAGTGGAGGGAGACAAACGGAAATCGACCATGTCCTGGTCAGAAGATCGTCTCTCAAAACCGTCAAGGATATCAAGGTACTGCCTGGGGAAGAGCTGGGCCCTCAGCACAGGCCTCTTCTAGCAGACATCGCCATAGACCTCCCCAAGAAGACGAGGCTGAGAGCAGAGCGGAGAGTTCGGTGGTGGGAAATGAGCATGGTAGAAAAGGATAGCCTCGGCCGAAGAATACTGGAGGTTGGGCTCCCAGACCCACAAGGGCCAGTCCAGGACACCTGGACCTACGCAGCAGAGGTCATCCTACAGTGTGCAAGGGAGGTCCTGGGAGAGACGCGAGGTGGTAAGAGGAAACAAGGCAGCCTGGGTCCTGGAACGAGGAAAGTCTAGAGGACCGCAGAAGAAGGAAGCATACAAACATGGCAGCATACAACAAAAGAGACGGAGCCCAGAAGACTACGCTGCCTACAAAAGCTGCAAGCGACTCGCCAAGGCAGCCGTTGCTAAGGCCAAGAATACGGAAATGGACGCCCTGTACGACAAGCTGGAAGGCCGAGAAGGGACA